TAAGAGTGCAGGGCTGGGACCAGCCACAGGCCTCGAGGCCTGGAACACAGGGTGGGGGGTGGGGGGGACCCCTGGCCCAGGCTGGGGCATGGGACGCTCCTCTCCACCTGTGCTGTGTTTGCCAGGTGTGTTTTCCTTTCATTAAACCTTTCCACAGGGTGTTGGGATCCGTGTCCACCCAGGCACTGGAGCTGAAAGAGGGAGAAGAGGGTCAAAGAAAGTGAAGGAAAACTTCAAAAGAAGGATTAGCCTGCTGTAATGGAGAGAGCCCTTCTGCACTCCTCCGTGGTGGGTGGCAGATGGCCTTGGGCGTCACCCACTCCACCACGACCTTCTCTGTGTACCCTGCAGCTTCCCCTTCCCTGTCACATTTTACTTTGAAATTTTAACTTCCAGAAGAGTTGAAAGAAGAGCACAAAGGACCTAGACTCTCCAACAACTGTTAACATTTTCCCAGAATCGCTGTCTTTCTCTCATTCTGTTTTCATTAGCTTTTATTTTACTGAACGATTTGCAAGCAAGTCTCCATGTTGATGCTTCACTTCTAAATGTCTCAGCATCTCCTAATAAGGACATTCTCCACAAAACCACAATACCATTATCACCACCATAATAGCATCTTGCACACCATCTGTATTCAAATCTCTACAATGGTCCCCCAGATGGCTCTTAGGGATGGATTTTTTTCTGTATCCAGAATCCAATTAAGATTCACGTATGATGTTTGGTTGTTTTGTCTTCAGTCTCTTTGAATCTAAAGCAGTATCTTGCTTTTTTTTGTTATTGCGATTGCTATTTGTTTTTGTGACATTCTCCTTTTGAAGAGTCTTGTAGAATGGCCTGCATTCGGATCATGCTCTGGTTAAGAACGCACAATGTGGGTTTAATGTCTTGGGGACAATATCACACAGGTGACCCACTCATTGCATCATTCTGGAAGCAGAGAATGCCTGGTGTGCCCCTGTTGCTGATCTGAGCTGGAGCACCAAGCCTCTCTCCATTTCCCTGCTTTGTGACGAGGGAATCCGCAGGATCCTCATGTGCTCAGAAGATCAACCCAATACCCAGTAGTTTCATCAGTCATCAGAGGTGCTTGCCCAAATCAACTACTCTATTAGGGGCTGAAAAATGGTGGTTTTCAATTCTTTGGTTCTTTTTACATTTGTTAGTTGGCATTTTTTCCCCTATAAAAATTCACCCTTCAGAAATTATTCCCTGTGGATTCATGGATTTAAAACTGTTATGATCAGATAGTATTGTTATTTATTTTGATGTTCAAATGGACTTGCCTCTGTCCAGTAGGATCCCTCAGGCTGGCCTGCCTCTGGCATGATCCCATTTAGCTTGAAGTACTTTTTTGCTTTGTGATGGGACATGATATTCTAGGCTCATGTTGTACATTTCCTGCCCCAAACCTAAAACCAGCCGCTTTTCCTAGGGGCTCTGATTCCTTCAGTGTGAGAGGTGTGGAGAGAACAGGGAACTTTGCTCTGGGTGTATCCCTTGCTGCTGGGTATTGTCAATCTTGTCCCCTCGGCAGATAGAATTACAAATCCCATTTTATTAAAAAAAAGTCATGAGTTCAAACCAGGTGCAGTGGAGCATGCCTGTAATCCTAGAGGCTTGCTTAGGAGGCTGAAGATGGAGGATCATGAGTTCAAAGCCAGCCTCAACTATTTAGCAAGGCCCTAAGCAACTTAACAAGAACTTGTCTCTAAATAAAACATAAAAAAGGAACTGGAGATGTGGCTCAGTGATAAAACTCCCCTGTATTCAATCCCTGGTAGAAAAAAAAAATTGTGAGTTCAAACTGACATTTCCAACTCAAATTTAACAGTACAGAGTGTTCTTTAACTTTATCACTAATATCTTTTATTCTCTTCCAGTAAAATACATATTTGCTTATTTGTTTTATACTATGTCATACATAAAAGTTTCAGAATTACAAGACCAATGTCACTACGAACAGTGACTACAGAAAGCAGGCGCTTGTGTTTGTGGTTCTTTTGTTCTCAGAACATACCCACCGTGTGCTCGGGACTTGAGCTAATCCCTGGCTCGGTGGGGTTACGATGTCACTCTGATATGATATCAGTTTGGTTTGTTTCTGTTTGCACTCTATTGTGAGGGTTTGCTTTATCCCATCCTTTTAAAACTTTATTTTATTTTTTGAATATGTAAAACATGTATATGGTTCAAAAATTAAAATGATACAAAAAGGCAGAAGACTGGATTGTTCTGTCCCTTCGCCCCGTTCCTCCACTCTGCAGTTAACCCTTCCATTTGTTTCTGTTTTACAGTTCCTGTATTTCTCCCAAAAATTATTCCCGGCGGATTCATGGGTTTAAAAATGTTATGATCAGATAGTTTCGTTATTTATTTTGATGTTCGAATGGACTTGCCTCTGCCCAGAAGGATCCCTCAGGCTGGCCTGCCTCTGGCATGATCCCATTGAGCTTGAAGTACACCTACACATTCTTATTTTCTCTCGTTTTGATACAAAATAGAGTACACTGCGTATCCTCATCATGTCATTGAAATTTACTATTGATAAGGATCCCTGGTGCCTACTTTCTTTCCTTCCCATGTTGGAACACTCTGCCTTCGTGTGAAACCCATTCCTTGTTGGTTTTTGTCTAATCTATCAATTGTCTACTTGGGGAAACCCTGGGACACCAGGGGCTGGGGCATGGGGAAGACCTGGGTACTCGGGATCTGGCACACCCTGCAAAGGCTGAGAGCTGTGGCCTTGCTGTGGGCTGACTCCTTTGGCTGGCCTCCAGCTGTCTGTGTCTCTTGGAACACGGGTGGCTTTGGAGATGGCTTTTGGAGAAGGGGATTGGAAGATTATGAAATGTGGCAAGGAGAGAGCTACTTTCTTTCTTTCCCACCTCTTTTTATATAGCATGTATTTATTAGTTTGTACTAATACATTCCCTGGTAATAAAGGCAATTTAGTGAAAGAAGCTTCCTTTGGATATTTGAATTCTCTGAACATGAACAGAACTATACTTTAAAAACAAATGAACAGCAACAACAACAAAAAAAAACAAGAAAAAAAAGTTGTTTTTTTTTTTTTCATTTGGATAACAACAACAACAAAAAGACAAGTTAAACAACAACAATAAAAATTTCCTTTTTTACAGGTGGACATGGAAATGGACCTAATTTGGTTTTCTTTCTAAAAGCCTTCAAAGACAAAAAGCAGCTTAAAGCCTAATTATGATGAATAAATAAAATTGCTTACTAAGCTACTGGTCTTCAGCACTAGTCAAAGAATTAGTTTCTATGCCAACACTTGCTTAGTCTAATACAGGCTTTTTAAAGAATGAGACAAAATCCATACAACATAAAATTCACCCCTTTTGCCACTGTAAAGTGAACTTTCAGCAACTTTCAGTACATTCACCATGTTGTGAATGCATCACGTTTTCTCACCACCTGGGGAAACCTCATATCCACTAAACGGTCCCTTCCCATCTCCCCTTATCCCCAACCCTGGCAACCCCAAACTGCCTGTTCTGGATATTTCATGGAATCATGCAATATGTGTTATCCTTTTGGGTCTGACTTCCTTCACTTAGCCTGACGCTTTCACCTATGTTGCAGTGTGCAATGGTACCACCTTTTTAGGGTAACTATTCCATTGTGTGGATTAGCACTGCCTGTGTGTGGGCAGCTCTGAGTTAGTCCACCACGTACAGAGCAGCGGTTCTCGGCTGTGTCGGAGCCTCTGCTACTCCATTTTGTCAGCAGGGGTTGTCCGTAAGCTGCTCCATTCTGAGTTTAGTGCTGAGGTGAGAGGACTCTACACCTTGTTTGCACAAGTAAACAGGCGCCATCTCCCTGGCACAGCTGTAAGGCATAAACCGATAAACAAATGCGTTGTGCTAATCAGAATGCTCACCTGTGGACTTCCAGAACTAACCAGAAGCTCACGGATGCATGGGCGTGTCAAACTCACACTGCAATAACCAGGCCATGAGCTTATCACACACCAGACCACGTGAAGCACCCCTCCCTCAAGGGCCACAAAAGTAGGGCACCCCATGACTGGACGGGACAGCATCCTGACCAGTCACCTGGTCACTCATCATGAGCTTTGCCCAGGAAACCTGCCACAGTGGTGGACCTCAGAACCTCTGTCCTTGGGCTTTAGTGGAGGGCGCTTTCTCCTGCCTGTGCCCGTCACGCAAGGCCCACTCCAAGCTGACCCTGCCACACTGCCCTCAGTTGGGACCTGGGCCTAGAGTAAGTTCCCGCTCTTGGACAGCTCTGCGCCTGGAGCTGTTCCCTGGCTGTTCCTAACCCTACCTGCCCACCCACAGGGGCTCTGCATTCCCACCTGCCTCTGCCTCCGCCCTCAGCTCAGCCCCCTGAGCCTCTGAGGCTGCCTTACCCATCCTTGGCCTTTCTGTGACCTACACACATAATTGTGTAAAGTGGTGACGGGTGACTAGGGGGTCATAGATATTAGACGTTAAGATTGGAACAGAGGAAGCTGTGATTGCCCAGCTTGTGATAGGGGGTGACCCCCAAGTATTCGGAGAACTGCTGCCGGTACAGTGGTGTGGCTGTGAGCTTACTACTGTTTGATAACTCCTGATATTGTGGAGAGACACAAACGGTTCCATCTCTGTTAATGACAGCTTGCTCACCCCATCAGCTGAGGGACAGCTGACTGCTTCTATGTTTTTGTCCCATCTTGGGAATTCTGATGAATTTTCAAACACTCATATACAAATTTTTGTTTGAATACCTGCTTTCTTCTTTTTGTATATGCCTAGGAATGAGATTCCTGGGTTATATGGCAATTCTGTTTAGCTTTTTTTTTGGTGGAACCCAGAGGTTCATGAACCTGCATGCTAGGCAAGTGCTTTGCCTCTGAGCCACACCCCGGCCCTCTGTTTAACTTTTTGATGAACTGCCAAACTGTTTCCACACCAGCTGTACCATTTCACATTTTTATACATTTTTATACCTTTCTACCAGCAGTGTGCGAGGGCTGCAGTTTCTTCACGTGGACACCAACACCTGCTATTTTCCTTGTTTTGATTACAGCCATCCCAGTGGGTGTATCCTCATTCTGGCACAAGCTGGGAAGTCACAGGACATGCCCTTTGGCTTCCAGGTCTGCTGAAAACTTCCAATTTCCTGTAAGTAAGATTAGTCTTTGTTATTGATACACAAACTTGATGACCCCAGAGGTTCAGGCTATAGGAGGAGAATCCTGTTATTTGCTAAATATGATGTTAGCCAAACGTTTGCTTAAAAAAGAAAAAAAAAATCCAAAAAACAAAAAACCAAAACCCCACTTTTTAAAAATGTTTTTTTTAGTTGAACATGGAACACAGTACCTTTGTTTTACTAATTTTTTTTTTTATGTGGTGCTGAGGATCAAACCCAGTGTCTCACATGTGCAAGGCAAGCGCTCTACCACTGAGCCACAACCCCAACCCCCCAAAACCCACCTTTTTGCAGCCCTTGGCCACACTTACAATGTTTCATGGGAATCTAGAAAAACAGGTGGCGTTATTAAGTGTGGGGTGAGGGGTGTGAAATAATCATCGGGACAGGTGACCTTTAGGGCTCTTTTTAAATATTTAGGTGATGGCAATAGCCTGGCCCAGGCCTGAGAATCCAGGCGTCCTGACAAAACCACATGAATGGGGACAGCGAGCTTCTCACAGCCAGCCCCCCGGGGGACTTTCAGCGGCGCCTGAGCTCAGGGCTGCCGGTGCTGGTGAGCTCAGGCTGTGGAGCAGGAACACCCCGTGAGTCAGAGCAGCGAGGGCGACATTACCACTTCCTGTATGAGAACCGCTCGGGTGAATCGCTGGTTCCCACCACGGCCAAGAACCAGATCGGGTTGGCTCTCTACCGTGGGCTCCAGCCCTCCACTGGCTCTTGACAAGCCAGGGGAACCGCCCAGGGTTCAATGGGCAGGTCCAGGGGTTCTCCTACGGTGGGCTAATGGTTGTAATTATGCTGTTTTAATGCTAATTAACGTCAATCGTTTAGCCCGGGTCTTACCTTGCTATCCTCCTGTCTAAAGCCTTGGGTGAACGTGTGTCCAGAGTTCATGGGCTGGAAACGCAATCCCCAGTGCCACAGTGTCGGGGGACAGGGATGATAAGGAGTGCGGGGACCAGAGGGCTCTGCCCTCCTGGGGGCTTAAAGGGCGTCGTCCAGGGAGTGGGTTTGTCAGGGAGCAGGTTTGGCCCCCTGTGCTCTCGGCTCTTGTCCTGTCGCCTTCCGCTTAGAACCGTGCAGCAGGACGGCCCTTGCCAGGTGTTGGCGCCCTGCTCAGGGACTTCCCGGCCTCCGCTGCTGGGAGCCAGTTAACACCCTTCTCTTCATTGTGGATTCTTCAATTGGCCTAAAATGAACGAAAACACCAAGAGAAGCCCTGGAGAATTTGGAAGAGGAGAAACTCCATGGGGAATCAAGGAAGATTGGTGGGAGCCTTTGCTAAGACCCGCCTGAAGGAGGGCTGGGGTTGACGTGGAGGCCGGGGTTGAATAGAGGCCGGGGTTGACTTGGAGGCCGGGGCACGGAGGCAGGAGGTGCGGCGCTGCCCTGGCTCAGTGCACCGCACCCACAGCTGGGCTCAGGACGCCCCCTCAGAGCGCAGCCCCGAGTCCCCGCGTAGAATGCGCTACTGCGATAAAACCATAAATCTGAAAATTGTTGAAAAATTATTGTGGCAATTTTATTTTAACAAATTCAGTGGCCAATTTTTTTTAAAAAAATGTGAGGTTACAGAACAGGCATAATTATATCTTAGCACTTTTAATTCTGCAATTTCCTCCACAGTCACCCTGCTGAATAATTGCCAGACTACAAAATGCTTCCAATTGAGGTAAGCGGAGGGCCAGGATATTTGGGGGCTATGGGAGCCACCCAGGGTGATCTCCTTTATCCCTGGGGTCCAGTGTAGTAAAAGCCTCCACTTTCACCCCAATAGTGTCCTAGTTTGGATAATATATGAACACTCTTTATCATGGATATTAAAATTAATTTTAAAAAAATTGTGGTAAAATATACATAAAGATTTCCATTTTGACTGATTTAACTAATGTTTCTTTTTTGAAAGTTTGTTTAATTGTTGACTGGGTATCATTGGTAGATGCAGGGATTCATTTTTAAGTCATTGACATTTGGTTATCAACCTGTAGTCTGCAACCTTGTTATAGGTACCTATTAGTTCCAGAAGTTTCCTTGTTGTTTCATTAATAGATGCAGGTATTCAGGTTATGGGTTCCTCCTTGTTTTAATTTCAGTAGATTGTATCTTTCAAGAAATTTATACATTTTATCTTAGTTATCACATTCATAAGCATAGCGTTGTTAAAAATATTATTTCTCCTTTTACTATCCATGGGATTAGTAGTGATTGCTCCTGTCTCTGCCTTATATTAGCAATTTACTTCTTCTCTCTTTGATTAGCCAGACTAGAAGTTTATCTAGAATCACCTCTTTTGGTCTTGTTAATTTTCTCTATTGATTTCCTATTTCCAAGTTCATTGATTTCTGCTTTGGTGTTTACCATCTGTTTTCTTCTGCTTACTTTGGGTTTTTATTACTTTTATTTATTTAGTTTCTTCAGCTAAAAACTTAGATTATTAATTTTTGGATATTTTTTCTCATATGTGCATTCAACACTGTAATTTTCTTCTCAATACTGTTTTTGCTGCATTTGGAAAATTTTGATAAGCTGACCTACCTTCCTTCCTTCCTTCCTCCCTTCCTTCCTTCCTTCCTTCCTTCCTTCCTTTTCTGTGTCGTGCTAGGGACGGAAACCAGAGCCTTGCCTATGCTAGGCAAACACTATACCACTGAGTTACACCCACAGCCTTTCTGATTTTCCTTTAAGAGGCAAGTTACTGCATTGTCCAGTCTGGCCGGAAGCTCCTGGGCTCCAAAGATCTTCCTGTCTCATCCTCCCACGTAGCTGAGACTTAGATGCCTGCCGTATCACTGCCTTCATAGATTGTATTTTCATTTTGGTTTAGTTCAAAATATGTTAAAGCTCTTTTAAGATTTTTTTTTTTTGACCCAGGTGTTATTTAGAAGTGTGGTGTTAAATCTCCAAATATCTTGGAATTCTGTAGCTATCTTTTTTCTTTTTTTTAAAGATAGAGTGAGAGAGGGAGGGAGAGAGAGAGAGAGAGAATTTTTAATATTTATTTTTTAGTTTTCGGCGGACACAACATCTTTGTTTGTATGTGGTGCTGAGGATCGAACCCGGGCCGCACGCATGCCAGGCGAGCGTGCTACCCTTGAGCCACATCCCCAGCCCCCTGTAGCTATCTTTCTGATATTGATTTCTAGTTTCTCTTCTCTTCTTTTTTTTTTAAAGAGAGAGAGAGAGAAAGAGAGAATTTTTTTAATATTTATTTTTTAGTTTTCGATGGACACAACATCTTTATTTTATTTTTATGTGGTGCTGAGGATCGAACCCAGTGCCCCGCATATGCCAGGCGAGCACGCTACCGCTTGAGCCACATCCCCAGCCCCTTTCTTCTTTTCTTCTTTTCTATTGTTAACTCCGTTGTGGCAGAGGACACACATTGTATGATTTCTGTCCTTTTAAACTTATTTAGCATGACCTACAATGTGGTCTCTCGGCAAATGGTCTATGTGAGCTTGATAAGAATGAGAATTCTATTTTATTCTGCTGTCCTTCCTTCCCCCCTGGAGGGGAGGGGAAGGGGGGAAGGAAGGACAGCAGAATAAAATAGACATTATTATTGCTGTGTGTATATATGTGACTGCATGACCAATGTGATTCTGCAACCTGTACACTCAAAAAAATGAGAAATTATATCCCATCTGATTCAAATGTATGATATCTCAAGGTCATTGTACTGACATGTGTAACTAATTAAAACAAATAAAAAATTATAAAAAAGAATGTGAATTCTGCTGTTTTGGGATGAAATATTTATAAATGCCTGCTGGATCCCATTCCCTGCGGGTGCTGTTCAATTCAGCTGTATCCTTATTGGTTTTCTGTTTGTTAGATCTGCCAACTATTGACAGAGGGGTATTGAAATCTCCAACAGCTGCACAATTTTCTACTTTCCCTTGCCTTTCTATCAGTTTTCCCCTCTTAATTTGGCACTGTTAGGCACATGCACATGAAGGATTTTTATACTTCCTTGGCGACAGACCCTATTACCATAATGTAATGCCCTTCTTCTTTCCTGCTTTCCATTTTCCTTGTTCTGAAGTCTGCTTTGTCTGACATACGTATATTTACCTCAGCTTGCTTTCTTTGAATGCATTCCTTTACTTTCCCCCAATCCTTTATTTGAAAACAAACAAACAAACTAGTTTTTATTGTGGCAAAATAAAAATAATGTAAAACTTGTCACCTGCACTGTGTTCAAGTGTGCGGTTCATTGACCTTCAGGTGGTTGTGCAGACCCCAGCGCTGTTCATCCCCAGGCAGACTCACGGTAGAGTCTGGTTGGCATGGGAGTGGCTCAGAACTCTCGTCATCTCGCAAAGCCGAAACTCTATACCCACTAAACAAGACCTCCAAGGCATTCCTTAGCCCCGGCCCCTGGGGACCCCATCCTGCTTTCTCTCTCTGTGAATGTGCCCACTCCCAGTGTCTCACCTAAATGGAACCATACACTATTTGTCCCTTTGCATTATGCTTATTTAACCTAGGATGACATGCTCAAACTCATCCATGTTGAAGCATGTGTCACAATTTCCTTCCTTCTTTTTCTTTTCTTTCTTTTTTTTTGGCGGTACTGGGGATGGAATGCAGGGCCTCACACATGCTAGGCAAGCACTCTACCACTGAACTGCACCCCCAGCCCTTTTGGTTTAGAGACAAAGTCTCCTAGATGTTCAGTTTCTGTCTTAAGGCTTGAACTTGGGACCCTCCTGCCTCAGTCTTCTAAGTAGCTGTGATCACAGGCGTGCACCACTGTGCCCAGGAAAATTTCTTTCCTCTTAAAGGCTTTTTTCCTTTACCTTTATTTATTTATTTTTATTTTTTGATGCTGGGGATTGAGCTACACCCCCAGCCTTTCATATATGTAATTTTTTAAAAATTTGGGACAGAGTCTTGTTAAGTTCCTGAGGCTGCCCTTGAACTTGCGATCCTTCTGCCACGTCTCCCAAGTTGCTGGGATTACAGGTGTGCACCGCCGTGCCCAGCTTATTCCTTTACTCTTACTCTCTCTCTGTTTTTATATTTAAAGTGGGTTCTTAGTAGACAACCTGTAATTGGGTCTTGTCTTTTTATCCAGTCTGTTTTTTTTAAATCGGTCTTAGACCATTCACTTAAAGATAATGATTGGTCTGTAATTGCTCTCTATTGGTTGCACTTGTTCTTTATTTTTCCAAACCTCTGTTCCTTTTGCACCTTCTCTGGTTTTAACTGAGCTTCTCATATGGCTCCACTTTCTCTCCCCTCTTAGTATATCGGTGAGACATCTTTTACTGATCTGTCGACCTGGAGTTTGCAGGTGGACATTTACAACGAATCTAAGTCTACCATCAAACACTGCTACATAGCTTTCCTGGGAGTGCAGGTAACATACTCAAGGTATTCTGGATTCCTCTGTCCTAGGCCTTATAACATACTGCCATTCATTTGACTGTCCATAAGCTATACCCACCCAATACATTGTTGCTATTACTGCTTTGAACAATTATCTATTAGCTCAATTAAGAACAAGAAAAGGGAAAGGATTTATTTTGCCTTAATTTATTCCTTCTCTCTCTTCCTTTCTGTAAGTAATTTTGAGCTTGTGACTTCTGTCATTTTCCTTCTCTCTGAACTTTTGACACTTCCTATAACACCGGGCTTCCAGAAACCAACTGCCTCAGTTTTGATTTGTCCAAGGAAGTATTCATTTATCCTTCACTTTTTTCACTGGGTACAGAGTTCTAGGTTGGTGGGTTTGGTTTTTGTCTGTTTTTAACTGATAGGGTTCAGGACACGTTACCCCACCATACGGCACTCACTGTTCAGACTCCTACAGCAAAGTCCCTGAGGCTGTGTCATTTTATAAACAACAGAAACTTATTTCTTGTAGTTCTGGAGCTGAAACTCCAAGACCAAGGAGCTGGAAGATTTGGTGTTTGGGTGAGGGCAGCTCCTGTTTCCAAGATGGCACCTGGTTGCTTCCTCACATGGCAGACGGGCAAATACCAATGTACTTACCTGGTGGCGGGGGTTACATTCTCTATTTACCCTCCTTTATCAGGGCTTGAATCCAACTAATATTTTATTACCTTCCTCCAAGCCCCACCTCTTTCTCCCCCCTTTTTGTACCAGGGATTAAACCCAGGGGGTGCTTCACCACTGAGCCACAACCCCAGCCCATTTTCATATTTCATTTAGAGACAGGGTCTCACTGAGTAGCTTGGCACCTCACTAAGTTGCTGAGGCTGGCTTAAAGCCCCATGGCTTAATGCCACGAGAGTGGGGATTAGATTCAACATGAGGTTTGGAGGGACTCATTCAGACCACCCTGATATTTGAACAGCAGAAGGGAGAAGACCCCTTTGCCCCTCCTCCTTCAATTTTCCCCTGAAGTAGGTCATAAAACATCATGTGAGAGGCTGTTCCTATTCACAGAGGAAAGGACTGTCCTGATCTTTGAAGATGAAAGGAGTCAAGGATCTGAACAAAGAGGACTTGCTAAATTTCCCCCAGTTTACCACTGTATCATACTCTGTCCAACCATATTTCCCCATGATTGTTCACTCTTCATCAAACCTAGCATAAAAAGATAAATCACAAGTTTAATCATTTTCTTCTAGTCTCATTTTATTATGACGGCTCCCATGTCATGTAAAATAAATGTGCATGGTTTTCTCTTGTTAATCTGTTTTTTGTTTTTTTAAAAAAAGTCTTAGTTTTGAACCTGGGAGGGGTAGAGGAAAGCTCTCTTACACATTTCAAATATTTCAATTTCTTGCAAGGTTTCAGATAAAGAATCCAATGTACTCTTGTTCTTGTTCCTTACAGGTAAGGCTTTCTCCCCTGACTTTTTTCTCTCCAAGATTTTCTCTATGTCTGTGGTTGTCTGCAGTTTGAATACATTTTTAAAATTCTGTTTATTATTCTCTGAGCTCTTTGTATCTGTGGTTTCATGTCTCCCACTAACTCTGGAAAACCCTCAGTCATTATTACTTCAAATACTTTTGCTCTTTTCTTACTTTCTTCTCATTCAGACATTTCCATTACATATATTATACCTTTTAAAATTGTCCTTGGGGCTGGGGATACAACTCAGTTGGTAGAATGCTTGCTTTGCATGCACAAAGCCCTAGGCTCAATCCCCAGCACCAAAAAATAAATAAATAAATAAATAAAATAAAATAAATAAAATAAAAAATAAAAATAAGAATTAAAATAAATAAAAAAATCATCCTTTGGTTCTTGGATGTTCTGTCCTATTTTCTTCCCTTCATTTCAGATGTGATTTCTAGTGTTTCCTTTTGGTTCTTTGAGTTTCCATCTCTCTGCTTTTGTTATGTGTAACAAAAATAACAGTGTGCATTCCTGCACAATCTCTTATTTTTTTCTACTAGAATCCTTAACATATTAATCATAGTTATTTGATTTCCTAGATGATAATTCCAAAATCTGGGTCAGATCTGGGTTTGGTTTTGATGCTTGCTTCGTCTCTACAGACTGAGTTTTTAATCGCCTTTAACATGTCTTGTAATTTTTTGTTGAACTCTGGACACATGATTGTGCTAATAGGACCGGAGGTGATCAGGCCTTCAGGGTGAGGCTTTCTGATCTGACCAGGGACTGAGGTTTGTGTAAGGTTTGCTGTATGCACAGGGGCCAGTGACTTCAGTTCTCTTTCTTCGATGTTGGGGACAGTTCTTCTCTGTTGATTTTGGCTTCCCTAAGCACATCCTCTTAAATGGAACCTGTGTCACAGTGTCGCACAGCTCTCTCAGCTGTCATCTACTTCATTACACTGGAGCCTGTCGTTGAGTGTCTTCCCCAAATACATGTTTACCTGGAACTTCAGAATGTGGGCTTATTTGGAAGTAGGGTCTTTGCCTATGTAATTAGTTAAGGTGAGGTCATACTGGGTTAGGGGAGGTCCTAAATCAAATGACATCTTTAAAAGAAGAGACAAAGATACACATGGACACAGAGTGAAGGAATTCAGTACATCTCCCCACTCCCAAATGGCCCACTTTGTATAAGGATTATTTAAGTTAAAGTTAACTTAAAAAAAATAGCATGTACATCTGGATGTGGTGGAGAACACCAGTAATATCAGCTACTGGAAAAGTTGCGGCAGGAGGATTGAAAGTTCAAGGCCTGCCTGGGCAGCCTCATGAGACCAGTTACTCAGGAGGCTGAGAGAGGAGAATTGCAAGTTTGAGAATAGCCTCTACAAGTTACATCCTGTCTCAAAAAATAAAAAGGGCTGGGAATACGGGGATGTGGCTCAGTGGCATAGCACCCCAGGATTCAATACCTGGTACTGCAAAAAAACCAAAAACAAACCAAAAAAGTAAAATAAGAAGGATACTCCAGTCTTCCCCATTTTCTTCCTGAAGGTAGCAGATAATATCCGCCTTCCCCGAATGGATGATGTACTCCCTATACCAGGAAGAAAAAGGCATTTTTTTTTTATATATTATTGGTACATTATGGTTGAACGTAAGTGGGATTCGTTGTTATGTATTTGTACATGCACACATTAGAGCAATATAATTTGGCCAATATCATTCCCCAGTGTCTCCCCCTTCCCTTCCCCCTTCTTCCTTCTCATCCTTTTCCTTTATTCTACTGATCTCCCTTTGGCTTTAATGAGACACCTCTCCAACAAACATTCCCCACTCCTTTTCCACTCTAGCTTCCACCTATGAGAGAAAACATATGTCCCTTGACCACCTGAGTGCCTTTAACTCATAATGTTCTCAAGTTCCATCCATTTTCCTGCAAATGATGCGATTTCATTCTTCTCTGTGGCTGACTGTGTGCATATGTACCACATTTTCTTCATTCATTCATCCATTGATGGACGACACCTAGGCTGGTTCCATAGTTAGGCTATTGTGAATTGTGCTGCTATGAACATGGATAGGAAAGTAACATTCTTATCATTAAAGACAAAATTCATAGCCGAGAGAAATCTGTACAAATGAACCTGGTTAAACTAACCTTCCCTTCCTATAACAACCCCAGCTCACACCCCTTTGCCTAATCACATTTTCACATCTTACCTTTTTTTTGCCCAATTCAGTATATTAAGTGTTTGACTACTCCTTCAGGTCTTCATTTCTGCTTTGGTATGAATGTCCCTCCAAATTCATGTGCTGGAAACTTAGTCCCCAGTGCAACTGAATCCTCCAAGTGTTGGGAGGTGGGGCCTAGGGGGAGGTGTCACCAGGGCTGCACCTTCATGAATGGATTAAAGCTGCTAAGAAGGAATGAGGCAGGGCTCTTCTGCCATGTGAGGACGCAGCACATTTTGGAGTAGACACTGGACCCTTGCTGGACAATGAACTTGTAAGTGACACTTTGATCTTAAACTCCCCAGCCTCCACAACTCTGAGAAATGACTGTTTTTTTTTTTTTTAAGATTGCCCGTCCATGGCATGCTATTAACTATTACAGCAACGCAAAAGGGTCCAAAACAATCTCCTCCTGAGGGCTCCTGGGTCACATAAAGTTTTTACTAAGTACATTTGCATGCTTTTCTCCTGTCCTACTTTACTTTAATTCTCAGGCTTAGATTAAAATCTAGGTTACTTTAATTCTTAGGCTTAGATTAAAATCTAGGTTACTTTAATTCTTAGGCTTAGATTAAAATCTTAAGGATGTAGAGATAAAATTTTGTCTCCCCTGCATAGGAGAGGCCATGTGACAATAGAGACAGAGATTGGATGATACAGCCGCAAACCAAGGAATCCTGTGGATGGCTACCAACCTCAGAAACCAGGAAGAGACCAAGAAGGATTCTTCCCTCGCACCTTCAGGGAAAGAGAGGGGGTGGCCCTGACAAGGTCCTCATTTTGGACTTCCAGCTTCCAGACCTGTGAGAGAATAAATTTCTGTTGTTTATGTCACCTGGTGGGTCGTGTCTGCGATGGCAGCCCAAGGAAACTAATACCACCAGCTGTTGGGGAAGGAGAGTGCTCTACAATCTTGTGAAAAGTACTACTGGGCCTGAGTCCTTGGGCTGTGGCCTTCAGAAGTGGTTCTTGGTCCTTCTTTCTCTGCCCCGACGAGAGACTAGAGGGCCAGGCTGTCCCACTACCCTTCCTACAGAAGATAAGGTCCTGGTGGAGCCGTGCCCCTTCACGCTAGGCCTTGGTGAGGGAACAGAATGTTCTGGGCTTTCAAAATAGTTACTTTTCCTTGGGCGTATTGTGAAATGGTTACTTTCCTCCTCTCTGGGTCTGAAGCCTGGGGATTTTCTCTCATCTTCAGAGTGAGAACCTGGTGGGTTGCTCCTGCAGTAAAACCCAGAGAGACAGCAGGGACCCCTAAGACTGGACACTAAGAATTTTTAACCCAAACTAGTCCACGTTAGCCTCCAGCAATTTGTCACTTGCCATTCGAATGTTCCTACCATCTCCTACTGCCTCCAGGGGTGGCTTCTGTTCCAGGTAAGTCACAATTCCTGTCTCCTGTTCTCAGGTGGGTGATTTACACCCACCCCCCCACTTCAGTTCTCCAAGGGATCTAAGGAAAGTGGTTGATTTTCAGTTTGTTCCGTTTTTTTCTGGTTCTGAGGGTAGAAGTCATGACTTCTAGGCTCTTCACGGTGGGACTTGTCTTATGGTGGCTTTTTGTCATTCAGAATTATATATGGGTTTGTAATGGAATTCAACCTCCCTACTAATTCCTCTCTCTCTCTCTCTCTCTCTCTCTCTCTCTCTCCTGAAGGCTATAGGGCAACAGATAGGGAGTAACAAAAATAAGAATTATGGGAAAGTTTCAAAGACCCAGAATTTATAAAATCTCTGAGTAATGACCATCTGGTCTGATTCTTTCTAGAAATTTCTTGACTCTTCTGTATTTCACCTTCCCAGCTGATGGTCACGCTCTTCTGCCACTGAGCAGTCTTATCTCGTCCTTCTCGCGTTGGTTTCCTGTGTGTTTCCTTGTCTTGCTCTTACTTTGTTAACAATTTGAGGTCGGGGCGCAGGCTTCTCTGACCTTGAGAGCTGCCTGGAACGTGGCACAAAGTGGGCTGGGATTAGGGCTCTGGAAACATGGGACCGTAGTGAAGTGGATTTTTTCCCCCAATTGGTTTGGTGGATGATGAGTCACGTACGTTGCTAAATTGTCACCTGCTAGCACATAATGCCAGGTAGGTGCCCATGGGTCCGCCCTGTGGATCCTGGCTCTGATAGGGACAGACAGCCCCCAGGAGGAGTGTTTCTCAATCTGACATCTAGAAATTTGTCCAATCACTTTTTTTTTCTCTTTTAAAGCACTATTTATATCTATTACAAAAGCAATGCATGCTCATTGGGAAATGCACATTTCCCAAATTATCAAAGAGGGAGACAGCTCTAGATAATTTGGGAAATGTTGTTGTATAAAGAGGAAGGTACAAAATGATTCACCACAGTCACTATTTCATTGCGATTCTTTTGACCTTTTAAGTTTGCGTTGCTGATACTTGGGAGGAAGGATGAATTCTTTAGCAATCCATAACTATCAAGGGCTGCTGCAGCTGTTGCATCTGTCTATGAAAATGAGGATTCAATAGTTTAGGAATGTAGTTGGGCAGGAACATGACCTTTCACATTGAATGGGTCTGAGTCCAAATCCCAGGTCTGTCACTCACCGGATGTCCTTGGGCAAGTTGCTTTCTATGATTCAGTTTCCTCATCTGCACCACGGGACTGATACAGCTACCTATAGGGTGGCTGGGAGCAACTGGATGCAAGGATGTACATGAAGCTGTTCCACTCACACCGGCAACCAAGGGCTCAGTAAGAGGAACAGTTGGAGGGAAGAAGAGGGAGGAGAGGAAGACATTGGGGACCACCAATGTGGCATTTTCCACTTTTGGAAATGCTTTGGTGCTTCCACGGTGCATTGTGCGCACTATTACATTTGTAGTGGAAGACATTTGCTGTTTTAAATGTGACTTATAACAGTTGAAAACCCAGATTTCAGCTTGTCTTCACAGAAGAATGCCAGCTAATCATTGAAGAAGGAGTGATAGAATTAGAGAATCAGGCTTTCTAAAAAACACGTGACCGCAGGGTGATAATGCCAATGGATGAGGGCTGTTGGGTACTGGATGTTAGAGTTTCGCCTCATAGATCACATCTTAGTTGTAGAGACACGAGCTGTCAGATGTCACCTTAGCTGAGTGATCAAAATTAGATTTACAAAATAATGGGACAAACTGACATTCTGTGCTGGATTAGGAAGAACATGAAACCTATGTGGTATTCTTGCCCAAAGTGGCTAATTCAGATTGCCTCACGAGGAGCCAGTAGGCGAATAGAGATTAGGGGATAGTCCATGGGACTCTTCCAAAATGTCAATGTCATGAAAGACAAAAAAAAAAAGGTAGGGAGACAGCTCTAGATTAAAAATATGTTAAACAGTCAAACACAATGTGTGAACTTTAATTGAATGCAGGATAATTATTTTTTTGTAAAAGGATGTAAAAGACATTTGAGAGATAATTGGGGAAATTTGAATAGGAATTGTCTATTAAGAAACATTATCTTCATGTTAAATTTCTTAGCTCTGATGATGATATTGTGGCGAAGAGAATATCCTTTTTTTAAGAGATGCAGGTGAAGTATTTTAGGGGTGAGGTGACCTTTGTTTGCAACTTAATCCAAATGGCTTAGCAAAAATAGCTGTTCCCCATCCCCACACAATTGGTGAAGGGTAAATGGGAGTTTGTTCAATTGTTTTTCAACCTTTCTGCAAGTTTGATATTTAAAAAACAAAAATTGGGGGTAAAATCCTGCTTTCAGTGAGAACCAGAGTCCTCACTGGACTTGCCCTTGGGGGGACCCCTCCTAGCGCCTAGGAGAACCAGGAAGACTCTAGTTTAAAGACACTAGCATGGTCTCCTCTGGCTGTGTTTTCCTGTGGGAATCTCCCTTTCAGACACATGGTCTGCATGGATGAGTATAATCATTCTCTACACAAGAGTTGTATTGGTTTTGTTCTAAGAAAATTCTATGGGTCTGGTGTTTGATAGGCTTCTGAGTATCAGTACTCTAATGTGCTACTTAATTTTAGGCTTGAACTGTCTAAACAAGCAGAAGAGAATGTGGGGTGAGAAGGAGCCGCTGTTGGGTTGCGGGGATTTTACCATTATACAGGGGGCGCAAGGACTTTGTGTGAAAGCCTCTTTCTTCCCTAAGGACAGCTGATCCACTGTCACACCTGTCCATGAAGACTTGTTGTCATATTAAGAAAAGGAGGAACGCAGGAAGTCAAGACTTTTTATTTTCCCAAGGAAATAACACAAAATCGCTGGACAACTAATAGCATAAGTTTTGCCTTATCTTACATAAGCCCCATAGGCACTGTGCAGTTTTCTTTTCTTTGAACTCAAAGCAGATAGTGATTATCATTTCACAGGAAGGATGGATGAAGTGAATATCAGCTCTTGGTGACGGAGGAAATTACTGTCACATAGTGAGGGGATGAAAATAATAGGAGGAATTCAAAAGACGAAGCTGTCCCTGGCCACATTTGTTTCTTTTCACCTGCCAATTCCCATCGTTGGATGGGGACTGCCTAAAGGACTATGTGAAGAAGGATTTCTGGGGCTTTTCAGGCTCAGGGATGCGGGAATTGATCAGTGATGTCTGTTATGAGTTTTTGGCGTCCTATACATATCATATTACAGATCATATTTTCCATCTTTAAACTCCTGACACAAACTAATTTGGATGTTTGAAAAACATTGAAATCCCCAGAAAGGCATTGATCAAGGCAATGATCATAAGGATAGCTTGTATTTATTAAGTACTTACAGCACAGACAGGGTTCTGTGTACCCGGCAGGCACTGACTCATTTAGTCCTCACGTCAGCCTGATGAAGTGAGTTCTGTTTTCGCCGTCACTGAGTTACCAATAAGGAAGGGAGTCATCTCCTGAGGGTGGGTGGCCACTTTTGCAGTATGGTCTTCCCTGACTGCCTCTGTCACTTGGCAACCCTTTTTCCCTGGTTTAATTTTGACCTTGGCACCTGCTGCCCGCTGACCTTCATTGTCTGTCTCCTCCCACTAGGATGTAAGCATTCGAGGGCAGGCATTTGTTTACATTCCTTACTGCCGTATCTTCAGCAGCTTTCCCGAATCACTGTTTGGCATACAGTAGTTGCTCAATAAATACACGAGGAATGAAAGAATGAGGCTTGGAGTACTTCAGCGCCTTACCAAAGGTCGGACAGCTATGTTGTGGTGACAAGAGGCATGGGATCTCATAGTTATCTTTATAGATTTTTGAGGGTAAAATGGGAAGGGAGTCAGGGAAGCTTCCAGACTGGCAAAGTGGGGTCCAGGTGTTATGAGGTGCTAGGCGTCAACATTGTTGGGCTCCCATTGCTAAGAGATGAGGTAGGTAATTGCAGCCTGGTGGGATGGTGACAAAGACCCAAAGCCTGCCTCCCAGAGAAGCACCCTGACCATCTGAAGCTCCGTCTAGCCGTGGCTAACCCTCGACCTCCCAGGGGTTTTTGGCTCAGGAACAAACCTGTTGGGAGATGTTGTCAGCACCCAGAAACTCTAGGGAAGCTTCTAACAGTGAGGGGGAAAGGGGAGGTTCCACTGTGGCCTGAAAGCTAAGCCTTAGCACCAACAGGAAATGGATCTTAAGAGGCTTGAGTCAAGTCCCTTTCAGATGACAGAGTGGCTCCAGGTTGGAGCAAAGGCTTGGTGGTGGGAACACTGGAAAGGGAGTGGAAAAGGGTCTTGGCAGTGCCCTCTACACCCTGTCAGGGGAGGGGGTTGCAGGGACTGGGCCCAAGGATGCTCACGACCTCCCGGTGCCAGGAGTGGCTATGTGGCCTGGTGAGGGGTTTGGGTGGCAGAGGCTGTGACATACTCCAGTCATGGCATTTGCTCAGGAGGGTCTGGCTGTGATCAGGCTCCCTGAGCATCTTGGTCCTGTTGATCAGAAGCAGGTGATCTGGCAGTCTTGGAAGCTGTGGTTCTCAGAAGGAGCTCAGCTAATATGACTTGTTCTCCAAGGCCCAGACGTCAGACCACAGGGCCTGCGTGGCTGAGGCCCTGCCCTGGGAATCCCCCCCTGGGGAAGGAAGTTCCAGGAGCCCCGGGGGACTGCCAGCCCTTTCTCCCTGTTCGCATGCAAACTCACACTCAGGCTTAAGGTCTTTAATAAGGTCCGTGCTGGGCAGGTGTGTATCCTGGGTGCTTCCAGCCTCCACAGCTTCCTCGTGGGTCTTGCCCTTTAACACCCTCGTGACAATCAGCTGAGGCCCCATCCCGGGAATCATGGGGTGTGCAGACTCTCAGCCTGTTCTCCTCTCCTGACAGTGTCTGGGAAGCTCTCTTTGTTTCCTGTTGCTTCTATAACAAATTACCACATTTTTAGTGGCCTAAAGTGACACAGATTTATTATCTTATAGTTCAGTAAGTT